TAAAAAAGGAATTTTAATTCCTACTTACTTTGAAGAGTGATTGGGACCAAATAAGATAAGGTCTACAAAGACTGCATTAAGTACTAAGTGAATATGAAGTGATCAGAGAAGAAAATGTGAGCTTTAACTCAGCAGGTTGTTTAATTTAATTAATTTAATGTAATTATATCCTGTCAGTGTTCCAAAAAGGACTTGTGGTAGCTCACCCTCCTTGAGTGGGCTCACACTGGTTTGGACACAGCACCTAGACTGGGCTCCAGTCCCAAGAGTCTTGCTCCCAGTTGTGTGACCTTGGATAAGTAGCCCACCCACCTCACATTCACCTACCTAGTTTTCCTTACTATAACATGAAGAATTTGAGCCAGATGTCCCCTAATCATCTGGGCAGTCTGTACTCAGCCAGCACACATGCCACAGGTTTCAGCCTCAGTATAGAGAAGTGGCCAGGCAGAGAACTGGGGATGCCATGAGGAAGGCTGTGCCCAGATAAGGCCAGTGGCCCTCAGCTGTAGCCCTGAATTTGACAGCAGCAGCAGCAGAGCACAGTAATTTAGAAGGCAGGCTCTGGAATCGAACAGATCAGGATTCAAATCCTAGCTATCATTTACTAGCTCCGTGGCCTTAGACAAGCTACTTAACCTCTCTGTGCCTAAGTTTCCTTATCTTTAAAATGGGTATCAGAGTACTTATCTCATAGGGTTGTTGGAAGGATTAAATGAGCTCTGATATCTGGCCATGGCATGTAAGAGGCTCTTGATACTTGGGTGCTGCTAGTGTAGATGGGCAGGGGGTAGAAGGAGAGCAGAGCCGAGTCCTCCACGGCTGGAGACAGTTATTCCAGCACATGGTCTCTTCCTAGCTCTATGGGGTCTTTCTAAACCTATAGCAGCCACATTTTCCAACCTCAACTTGAAAATATGGCCTAAGAGTAGGAAACAGTATCAGAAATAGGAATTGTTCCAGACAGAAACATATGGCCACCTTACTCTAGCCCTCTTGGTGTAGGGAGTACAAATATAGAGGGCTTCTCAGGGCCCTTTCCTTAAGCAGCCTCTGCCACCAACTTTGGTTGGCAGCTCTGATGCTCCAAGGCTAAGTTCTGCTCCTGAGAGCATAATGTTCTTTGTCCATTGGCTTGAGGCACCATAGGTGGGCCAGATGGTGTTGTTCAGAGTGAGAAGGGCCTCCAGGGGACCCGAGTTGACGCTGTTTGAGGCTAACAGGCAGTGGGATGAGTGCAAAAGAGGAACAAGTCTACCAGGGACCTGATGCAGGAACTTCTGCATCCCCTGAAAGCCAGGGATGCATGGGACTTGCCTGACAAATGACCGAGTATCCTAGATGCCACAAGTCGGAAAGCCAGTTCTGAAACCTTCTTCCAGGGTCTGGTTATGAATGCCACCCAGGAAAGTCTCATTCATTCAATCAGTCATTTATTGAAGACCAACCATGTGCCATGTCTGGCACTGGAGCTATAGAAATGCATTAGTGATGATCCCTGCTCGCCAGCAGCTCACAGCCTGGCTCCTCAGCACTGGGGCTGTCAGGTGGGGAATCTTTCAGAGTGGATGTTATCTACTCCCACACATTCCCTCCCTGCCCACTCTGAAACCCAGATCCAGACCTCCATCTGCCTGCGCCTTTATTTTATCCCAACTTTGCCAGAGAGCCCTTCAACATCTGGGGCTAGCACCGTCTCTTCCTCTCCCTTACTGTCCCTCTGAAAGTGCCACTCTGAGCTCTTTCTCCATCATCCTGGGAAGACCTGCCAGGTGGTCAGCACTGTCAACTGCTTCATTTTATTTTCCTTTTCTTTTCTTTCCGTCCTTGTTTTCTTTCTTTCCTTATCCTCCCCTGCTCCTGTCTTCTCCTTCTCCTCCTCCAACCTGTATCTCCCAACCCACCCTGTCCAGGCCCCAGGCTGCCCTCTGTAGCTGAACACCAGGCGTCAGCACAAGCAGGGCCAGCTGGTGTCATTCCTGCGCCAAGTGTCCTCACCCAACCAGTGCCTCCTCAGCTTCTGGTGTGGAAGCCTTCTTTCTTCTCCTCTCCCTTCTCCTGCTCTTCCTCTGCTTTGGACCTTCTCCTCCCAGAGCTTCAGCTCCTCGCACCTCTGACCCAGGGCCTCTCCCTCCCTTCCCCCTGCCCTTCCTACCCTCTCCCCTCACCTTACTTCCTTCTTCCCCTCCTTAGCTGAGGGCACGGCATCACCCCCTCCTCTGGAGAGAGCCCCTGACAGCCTGTGGGACCTGTGGCTGAGTGGGGGGCTGAGTCCCTGTCCCTCACCAGTAGTGCCACTGCCCTCTCCTCACCCTGGGGCTCACCTCCTTGTCCCCCCATAACTTTCTTTGTGCTCCTTCCCCATTCATCATGACTGCTGCTTTCCCCCTTGGGAGTTTCTAGGCCTCCTCCAACCTCTGCGCGGATTCTCTGCAGGCTTTCATCAGCCACTTTTTGTTGTGCTCTCTAGCACCTTCTCGCTACCCACCGCCCCCCACCTTCCTTCTCCTCTTCTTCCTGCCTCCGCCTCCCAGGGCCACCTCTTCCTTCTGCTTCCCCTCCTGCCCTCCCCTTCCCTGCACTGCCGCCTCTGTAACCTGTCTTACCACCAGGGCCTGAGTGCACAAAAAAATAAATAAATAAAAAGGTCAGTGAGTGGAGGGAGCAGCAATAACCCCTAAAACAGTACTATCAGTGGAACATGATTGATCAATTGAATTCCATAGCGGCTGAAAAATGTGGGATTAAGTAGTGTATTATACGCACAATGAGTTGAGGCATGATGTTCATTTCAAGTTCATTTCGCCGGCCTCTGCCACCAGATCAGGCAATCAATAGGGGCAGCAGATATCATATATCACCTCTCTGCGGGCTGGGGAGAGAGCACCATAATCTCTCGCAAATTTAGAGTGACAGATTTGTCAAGATCTGAAGGGCCCCTGAATAAATGAAGGCAAAGAGACTCCTCCAGCCAGTGACCTGAGGACAAAGCTTCAGTTCAGCCCTTTACACACACACACACACACACACACACACAGGCATGGGGTGAGACAAGCTACACTCAGGCATGTACGCAAACCTCAGAGAGGCAGGAATTGAATCCTGCCACACATGTACATAGAAACACCCCCACACATAATGCATAAACAGGCTCACAGACAAATGCTCATTCTACTCCCTGGACGCAGTTGGTGACACTGCACTCACCAATACACAAAGACCCTCAAAGCCTCCCTTGGCCTTGGCAGCAGGGCTTCCCCAAAAGGTAGGAGGGCTCCAGGAAGAGAGAATTAGACACAATGGAACACGCAAATAGCTACAGTGAGTCAAATTAGGGTGATGCACATCCTGGTGGAAGAAGCAGTCACAGGAGAAATGGGCAACATGAGCTCCCGCTCTCATGCGGTCACATACATCCTTTCAAAAGGGTTCTTATTCTGTCACTTAAACGCACAGAGACCCTTATTTATCCAGATGTTTATTATATACAAGTGCACACACAGCAAATACTCACAAGAGGGAAAAATAAATATTTTGCACACCCCAACTCACACACAGAAATGCCTACACCCTCGAAGACTGAAAACTATTCCACACAGAAGAAGCACAACTACCAGATTTTGTGTCCACAGGGAGTATAGGCAGACTATCAAAGCTGCCTCTGCCTGCCTCCGACTTGATCTTGGTCTTGCTTTCTCTTATTTCTCTCCCTCTCTCTTACCCGCCCCGCCCCTCACACACACACTTTCTTCGCTTTCCCATCTTCTCCAGAGTAGAGTATGGAGGGAAGATAGGAGATCCCTTTAGGAAAGCAGAGCCCCATGCTCCATCTGGAAGGCCAGCCAGGGAGGATGGCTGCAGGTTGAGGTTAATCAATATATAATATTTTCTATGGTCTCCCAAATGATACTGTACGGTGTTACTGTATATAATGCAATATTGATTATATCATATCATATAATCACCTATAAACTGATATATATAACAGTCCCAGAGGAATACCCTGGGGACTACAGCATGGGCTGGCTCCAGGCTCAAGGCTTCTCAGCTTGTCTTGGGCTAAGGAAGCCAAGGAGTGACTGGGGAGTTTCTGGGTCAGGGTTCGGGAGAGGCATTTGGTCCACATACACTTTAAAAGCTCCAAGAGACCTGGAAGGAAGGGACAGAGAAGGCAGGGATAACAGCGTGGGGATAACACCAGGTTTGACACAGAGACAGGACTGACCTGTGGCCCCTAGGGAGCAGACACCAGTGAGACACCACCAGCCCTTCTTTCATGGAACAGATCTCAGCTCCCTGTGGAAACCCACAGCAAGTACCAGGTGACCCAGGAGCTGGCTCCTGATGGAGGCCAGAACCAGAATTCTCTAGGGGAAAGTGGCCAGGATACAGCAGCAAGCACAGGTCTCTGTGGTCTACCCACGTGATTGCTCTGAAGCCCACGTGACTCCTCTTTCCTTCTGCTTGGTCTCCAGCCCTGCCCAACCCAACCTGAGCCAGATACCTTAGCTTTGCTCTCAGAGCCCCTCCTCCCTCAGGGGGCAGTTAATTACTTCACCCCGTCTCTGCGTTACACTCGGCCTGAGAGATTTGATGATTTTCAACCCTTGGAATCAGTGGAACTGAAATTCATCTTGGAGCCGAGTTCAATTCTCCACAGGCTCAGTAACACGGATCTGAGAGCCAGCTCCTCCCCTACGCTCTCCCAGGCTGGGGAACAGAGGGGGGGCCCAGGAAAACATACCCTGGGAGACAGCCCTCTCTTGCTCCACCTCTACCCAGTCCTTCCTGCCTCCCTTTCTCTTCCCAGCTTCTTTAGGTTCTGGCTTCCTTAGCCAGACCCCTGAGGCAGCCCCTTTCAATCTATGAGCTGGAAGTAAGGGGTTCTGGCAGGGATGCAGAGCCCTGAGGGCCAGAGCCAGGACCCACCCATTTTGTCCCCTCTTCCTGGGCTTCTGCTGGCCTGATGCTAATGCCCTGAGTATCCCTGTGTTTCTCAGATGTGTCTGAGGGCTCGGTCCCCAATGGAGACTCCCAGAGTGGTGTGGACAGTTTGCGGAAGCACTTGCGTGCTGACACCTTCACCCAGCAGCAGCTGGAGGCTTTGGATCGAGTCTTTGAGCGTCCTTCCTACCCTGACGTCTTCCAGGCATCAGAGCACATCAAATCAGAACAGGTGAGGAAGGAGCTTCCTACTTGCAGAAGTGGAAGGGAACTGAGCAGAACAGGGCCTCCCAAGAACTCACACAGAACACCCAGCACCACATGTGCTCACGGGAGGCACCGTGTGTGTGCTGCATAAACATGCTCACACAAGGACACTGGGATATAGTTAAGAAAAATCATTGTGGTATGCAGTAAATAGAAATGATAAGTTCTAGGTGCAAGGTTACCCAGAAAATCTTCTCCCTTTTTTGCGCCTCAGTTTCCCCATCTATGTAGGGGGAAGGGCTTCAATGTATGGTCTATCAGGTCCCTTCCAGCTCTACCATTCTGTGGCCCTGGCCCGGGCACCCAGGAATGCCCTCTTGCCATGTCCTTTGCCTGTCTCCTTCAAGGATCCTACAGAAAGTCTGTGCAAATCTGTGGAGCTCCTCTTTCCCAGGGTCAGGAAGAGAGCCCACCTGTGCCTGGCTCCTGTTTCCAGCCATTCAGTGTGATCCCTGCCCTGACACCTGACACCTCCTACAGAGAGCAGACCAAAACCCAGCATGGGATGCAACATAAACACATTAGCCAAACACACCACACCGAAACATATTTCTAACTCTTCACATTTTACAGTTGCTTACCCACCACCACTGTCCACTTGCTCCCTTTCCCCCAGAGCCCACAGTCCTTATCCATAACCCCAGCAGCCCCATGAAGCCATGTTTAGCACACACCTCCGCCCACATACCAGTGTAATCCCTAGTGCAATCACCCACACACAAGGCACACAACCATCCCTCCCATACATGGCCTAGGCCAGCCTCACGCCTGCAACACAGTATAGCCTGCCATGCTTGCACATGTGCATGCACACACACGTGCATGTACACCCACACAAGTGTACATCCACGAAGACTCACAGTCTCCACACAGCACAGTTCTACTCTAAGACTCCAACAGCTCCTAGCCACTCGCCTTTCTCCCCGCCCGTCCTTTCATCCCATAAGCTGTTTGTCTTCATAAAACAAAAATCAAAAGTCTTTTTAAGGTGCCCTGAGCCATAAACCAACAAAGGAGGAGCCGGTCGAGGCGGGCGGCTCGGTGCACCCTCCCTGAGTCCCCGGCTGTATTACAATGAATAACCTTTATTTACTTTCATTAGACTATTAAACACCAGCACAGTCATTTTTCCCCCTGAAACTCGGAGCAGGGCCCATAAAGCAAATCCGAAGCCTAATTGAGTTCATTTTAATTTCTCTCCGATCACAGCGAATTACTCTGGTGATAAATCAGGGGGCAGCTTCACCCCCAGTAGAAGGCCTAATTTGCAGCTAATTACAAAACTGATTTCTACAGGAAGATCAATACGAGAAGGAATTGGAAATGACGAGGCAATCCCGTCCAGCCAGGGAGGGGAGGGGGTCCTCTGGGGGGGCCAGGAAGCGGAAGGGAAAAAAACGGACCCGAAAGAGCAGAAAATCAGTTTTAATTTAACGTAATATTAATCAGAGCAACTTTTCCTGCTTTGTGCAGGCTCCTGGTCTGCCCAGCTCCAGGGTCTGGCTTGGCGGTGGCTGCAATAAAAAGGCAATTACCCGAGTGTTTCGGGCAGGACACCCTTTCAGAGTCAATGACTGGCCCCCTCCCACCCTTCTGTTAGCCATGTGGACTCTCCCCCTCCCCAATTTCATACCCCAGTGCACAGGCAGAGAGCGAGGGGCCTGTGGGGCTGCCTTTGTTTGTTTTTAAAAAAGGGGCGCCCATACCCTATCAGCCAGCCCACCAGTGCCAGGCTGGAGGTCCCACTAGGCCCTTCCCCAACTGCTGCCTCTGCCGTCATGTCAAGGTTCGCCCCTCCTCCCATAGGGTCCCCACCCCAGGAGGATCTGAACACCCCATGCCTCTCAGCAAGGAGATTCCCCATTGCTGTACTTCCCCTGGGGTTTCTTAGGCAGGTGGTGCTAGAGAAGACTAAAGGGCACAGGGAAAACTACCCACAATGGGTAGGTGGCACCTCTGGCTCACCATGTCAGGTCTACCCCACCCTCACAGAACTCCCCATCACTGCAGTGTCTGCCCCTCCCAATCCCCCCCTCCCACCCGGCTATCTCCTTCCACCCCATCTGGGAGGGCTCCCCGTTCCTCCTTCCCATCTGCACACCGAGCCCTTTCTCTGTGTGTGCTCATCAATAGAGAGCTGTCGCTTTTCTCTCTCCTCCCAGGGGAACGAGTACTCCCTCCCAGCCCTGACCCCTGGGCTTGATGAAGTCAAGTCGAGTCTATCTGCATCCACCAACCCCGAGCTGGGCAGCAACGTGTCAGGCACACAGACATATCCTGTGGTGACTGGTAAGGGGGCTTCTGGGAGGGTGGGGGTTACTCAGCCCATGCCATCTGGGGCCCAGTGTGATAAGTGGGCCTCCTGCCATGGCATCTGGAGAGAAAGCCTTCAAAAATCAGGGTGCTTCCTAAACAGATGTGTGCAGATGTGGGGAGAAAACACAGTGGTCAAAGGGTCTGGACTTCAGCCTGGAAAGGTGGAAACTAGGGGCTTGCTTCCCATTCTCTCTGCCTGTTTTCCTGTCCTCCCTCTGTCTTTTCTCTTGTCTCCCCCAAGGTGTCCAGACCAAGCCTCTTGTAAGGATTGTGCAGAAAAATACAGAGGGTAATAGGCCAGGCTGTTGAGAATGGATATCATGGGTGCCCAGTATCCAGTCTCTACACTTCTCTGTCCCCAAGGCTCCTAGGGGATCCACTTTCCTTACCCTCCAGGCAGAACAGGTGGCTGTGGCTTTGGGCTTGAGCTACAGAGGAGCACAATTATCACAACCTTTCTCTTGCTTCCTGGAGAAGTCACTGAGACCAAGGCCAAGTAGGGTCACATGCAGGGGGAAGGGCACTCTGACCAGGAGCCCCCATGAATCAGGAGCCACAGAGGCAGCTGGAGTGGTCATGAAGGGGAGGGCCAGCATATGAAGTTCCAGGTTGCAGAGTTGTAGGCTACAGAAGACTCTTGGCACTGCAAAGGGTTTCCAGGCCAGGAGACTGCCCAAGTGGGAGAGACACACATTGAGGTGTTATTAAAATTCACCTAATTATTCTGGAGACACTAAAGCCAATGTGCCGTTTGTTCCTTGGGAGACAGAATGATTGAGAAGGGTCTCAGTGGGGATTGGGAGACACTGAGGCGTTACCTGCCGAGTGAGTGGAGGCCTAGGGACCTGGCAGCAGGGATACAGGCAGCCAGCATCACAGCCAATAGCAAAGACAGGGAGCAGGGGTGGCCCTGCTATAGGACAGGGCCTGGTTGTGACTTAGAGCTGATCTGAGCTTGGCTCAGATTGACATGGGTTTGGAGTAGCCACCCAGCCTCCTGTTATTAGCCTTCCCAGGCCTTATTGAAGGGGTGTCCTGGTACACCTGCGTCCAACCTATAAGAAGTTGCAGTCTTTGGCTATGGGCTCAGTGGCTGAGTTCTGGAAGTGCTGCAGAGGTGACTTTTGGGAGTGAGGACCTTAGCTGTGTCAGCTGAGTCAGGACATAGCCTATATTAACTGGCCTTCAGCATGAGCCCTCTGTAGCCCAACTTGGGAGCTCTCTGACCCACTTGAATCTTCTGACCCAGGCCAGACCACCTTTTTGGTCAGTGGTCACTTCCCAAAGGTGGCCCACTCCAGGTAATTGGTGAAAGAGTGTGCAAGAAACTTTTCTCTAATCCCAGCACACTTCCCTATGCTCAAGGCAACAGTCTAAAAGGCAGGGACTTCCTAGAAGGGTGAAGATGTGGATCTTCAGGGCAAGGGCTCCTGCCGCAGGGGACACTGGAACTGGTACAGAAAAGTGCCTCCACCTTGAGCAGCCCCCACCCGCCTCCCCCCCATGGCCCTGGAACAGTCCCAGCTCAGCCTGGGAACATCTCCGGCTGATCCATCTGGATCCAAGTGTGAGAAAAGTTCATTTCAGACCCAGCTTGACATTCCCAGGTGGCAAGTTAGCACTAACATCTCAATCTGTATGCGACATTTCAATCAAGCGAGGAGTAACAAAAGCAGAACCATTAACATTCGGAGCTGTTCACCAGTGGTAATGACGGGGAAACTCGCTCAGAAACTGGAAATTACCAAAAAGAGAAAAGTGTGTGGAAGGATGGGGGAGGGGAGGTGGAGTTGGGGGCAGGGAATGATTTTTTTCACACCAAGATCCAATGTTTGGATTAATAGTGCTATTACCCGAGAAAGGGCTGCAGATTATGCTCATTCTTAAAATGTTTTTGCTGGCAATTAAATGACTGCAGCTATTGATCTTTGTTGATTTTATGTCCTCCTAATTTGCATAATCTATTAAAGATGAATGATTCATGATGTGTTTATTATGGGGACAAATAGAATTTGCTGGAAGTACTGTCAAGGTGAGAAACTGGGCATTGCCCAGGGACTTGGTAGGCCATCTCAGAGTGGCTTTCGGGCAGGACTCTGTGGGGAGCAATGAGCAATAATACAAGGACACCCAGGAGAGATGGACTTTAGGTGAGTTCTTCTAGAAAGATGTCGTTGGCATCTGTGAGAAATAGGCTCCAAACAGGGCTGGGGTGTGGGAGAGGTTCTTGGTGTATTTGTAGAATTTCCCCTCAAAGGTTCTTTAAAAACTTATTTCATAGGAGAATACTAAGGACTTCAGTGGTGGAAGGGAAAGGGAGGCCCTTTCTGGTAGGCAGGTGATTGTGGGCAGGTGGGTGCTGAGGTAAGGAAGCAGCAAGATCATCCTGTGCCCACAGCCTGGCTTGGATGTGCCAAGGTGTTCAAGGAGCCCTCTTTATCCCCGACATCACAGCTCTCAGCTCATCTTTCTCCCCCAGTACAGCCAGCAGAGGCCGCAAACCTCTGGGGATGGGTCCTGAGGGAAATGGCCCAGTAAGGCCTTGGCCCAACCTGAAAAGCAGACCTTATTGATATTCCTGCTGCCTCCTGGCACTGGAGGCTGATTTCAAACTTCACCAGCCACTTGATGCAGCTGTTCCACAAGGTCAGGACTGAGAGGAGAGAGGAACCTGCACTATTGTGTGGAGGGGAGAGTGGGCCCAGTGGGCCAGGACAGAGCTAATCACATTGCAAGCAAGGGTGGCCGCCAGAGGCTAGGTCTCAGTCCGATAGCCTCCCCCACCCGCTCTTCCATCATGGAACCAAGGCGAGAGACTGATTTTTCAGAGTAGTGTTTGCAAGTTCTGCGGAGATTCTAATTTCACTGCATCACAACTCAGCAAGCTGCCAAGTCAAGCTGGTTATTTAAATTTATCACCCACTCTCCCTTCCGCCGCTGGGCTGCTCTAGCTCGGCGGCATCTCTTCTCTCCAGCCCACTGCTCTAGGCTGCTGGTCTGGAACGGAGCCGAGTCTCTCCTAAGTGATAAGGAAGAAGAGAGCTGCTAGATGAGAGAATGGGCCGGGGGCACTCTGGCCCAGGCTTCCTCAAGTTGGCAGCCTGCTGCTGCCTTCCACCACCTTCCTACTCTTGCAAGAGACCCTGCAGGGGACTGCCACTAACCCCTCAGCAGTTCCAGGACCATTTGGGTCAGGGCCTCTACAGTGAGAACTCTGGCTGCATCTTAAAGTCTCCCATCACTAATAAAAATGAGAGCCTGTCTTCCGCATGACTTTCTCACCTTACCCTCACCCTACCTGGGCCTGGCCAGGGCTGTAGTGATAGAGAGCCTACAGAGAGACCCTGGCAGCAATGTTGATCTGAGAAAAGATGAAAACTAGTTTTAGAATTCCCAAAGTTACTGGAGATGTTTTGGAGCATTTAGACTCCTTTGGCTTGGGAAAGTACAGCTGGGAGGAGAGAGCAGGCTTCCTACTTTGGACCCGTATGAGCCAAGAGGGTGCTAAGGGAAGTCAGTGATTATACAGCTCCATGCTCATTCTTTTTTTTTTTTTAATAGTTTTTTTTAGTTGTTGATAGACCTTTATTTTATTTATTTATATGTGGTGCTGAGAATCAAACCCAGGGCCTCACACACACCAGGAAAGTGAGTTACTGCTGAGCCCCAGCCCCAGCCCTCTATGCTCATTCTTGAAGCTGAGGAACACACCTGTCCCGAGCCGCTGCACAGAGTGGGCTTCACTGGCCTCTAGTGGGCATTGCTGCCAAGCATTGGGAGAGCCTTGTATAGTGTAGGTTTCACCTCCCTCATTTTAGTGGCATAGAGGTAATGGAAGAATGAGGTAGATGTCCAGAAGCCATCCACCAAGGCAAGATAACCTTGGCCAAACATGGCTGGGTAAAACATAACACAAAATATGTTAATACACAGCCAAACCTCACTTTCTGGTGCCAGAAAAGTCAATGCCAGAGCAGTATGTGGGAGACTGCTGGTATCATGCTGGAGGGAGACCCTAATTAGGGGAAGTTGGGTTTGTAACACATTTGATGGGAAACATGACCTTGGGCTCAAGAGAAGCAGGAAGCTAGAAACTGAATATTACCCTGTATAAAGTCAGAGACAGAAGATAAACAACTCTGTCCAGGAAAGTACAAACCAATGGCCCAGGAAAGCAAGGGATGGAGGGGGTTGGGGGGAGATGTCACCATAAGAAATAAAGACCCCAAGCCTGAGCCTGGATCAGAATCCACATTTATGCAATGAGTGTGTTGCAGGAACCCCAAGCCAAGAACTTATATTAAAAATTTTCCAGGATAGTAACCCACTCGGAAATCCCAGCAGGAATGCTGCTGGCAAACCTTCTTTATCAGGCTGGGGATGTGGCTCAAGCGGTAGCGCACTCGCCTGGCATGCGTGCAGCCCGGGTTCAATCCTCAGCACCACATACAAACAAAAGATGTTGTGCCCACCGAGAACTTAAAAAAAAAAAAACAAAAAACTTCTTTATCAGGACCTTTTACAATCCAGGGCCCAAGGAACTCCCACAAAGAAAAAAAATAATCACAATTAAAGATGAGCTCACCATAAAAATTACACATCCCATGTGAATGCCAACTATCATAAGTGAAAGTTAGCCAAAGCAATACATAGGAGAAATAATACCCCCAAGAACTGGAGATCATAGAATTATCCAAAAGCAACTATAAATTAAGCATGTTTAATATCCTAGAAAGGATCAAAAAGAGGTATAAGTTTTGCCTTTATCACAGAACCAGGGTCCCTTCCTCACCACTGCCCAACAAGTTGTGTGATAATGGAGATCAAAAAGGACCAAGAATGAAGGCCACACCTATAGCTCATTGTTTTGGGGACTTGGAGGAACTCAGAGAGTTGAGCCTCAGGCAACTCTGAGAGTAGAGCCTGTGTTCTTTCTTATCCAAGCTCCCAGACTGCTAGTCCTCAGCAGAGAA